TTTTTCGTTATAACTTCTCCAGTTATGCAGCTAGGAACATGAAATTTTGCAGTACTTGCACCTATTATCAACAGAATACTTACAGTGGAAATTACAAAGATCGGGTCACTATAACCTATAGCTCCCATACAACTGATTGTTCAGATATGAGATTTTTCGTTATAACTTCTACATTTATGCAGCTACGAACATGAAATTTTGCAGCACTTGCACCCATTATTAACAGAATGCTTACAGTGAAAATTACAGAGATCGGTTCACTATAACCTATAGCTCCCATATAACTGATTGTTCAGATATAAAATTTTTCGTTATAACTCCTCCATTTATATAGCTGGGAACAGGAAATTCCGCACTGTTTTCAATAATTATCAACAGAAAACTTACAGTGAAAATTAAAAAGATCGGATAACTATAACCTATAGCTCCCATACAACTGATTGTTCAGATATGAGATTTTTCGTTATAATTCATGCATTTATGCAGCTAGGAACATGAAATTTCGCACCATTTTCACTCATTATTAACAGAATACTTACAGTGAAAATAACAAGGATCGGGTGACTACAACATATATCTTCCATACATCTGATTGTTCAGATATGGGATTTTACTGTAAAACTCCTTTATTTGAACAGCTAAAACCGATAAATTTCGTAAGATATTTTATAAATAATAATACAAAGTCTACTGAGAAAATCGTCAAAATCTATGCTGTATAAGCTTTATCTCCTATAGCACTGATTGTTCAGATACCAGTTTTTGCGATATATCTCCTTTATGTAGGAAACTAAACCCAATAAATTGTGTCGGTTTACATACCGATCACATAGCAGTGAAAATCACTTAGATTGGTGCTAATATAAGGTATATCTTCCATACCTCTGTTTGTTCAGATGCGATTTTTTATATAGGTATGTAACTCCTCTATCGATGTATGCAGATGTACTCAAAAGCAGTAATCTGTCAAAGTAAAATTTGCAGATGTTCATGAAAGGTATGAAGCCTTCGGCATAGCCGAAGACAGCGCTGCTCTTACTTGTTTTTATAAAATTAAATAAATTAATGTAGTTAAATTATATTAAATGTACTTTTATATTAGTTAGAATTGCTGATTTGCATTTCTGCAAGACCATTTGTTAAATATAATTTATTCAGTAGTTAATGTTGCTAAAAACTTAAAAAGCATCTGTTCAAGTTCGCTTCTTGTACTAGTATTATATTATGTAAATAGTAAATATGCATGTTAGTTAAAAACCACATCAAAGTACAAGATATGCTATGTCCAAGCTAGTGCTAGTCCACTGTATATGTCCATATGTATGTCTGCATGTATGCGTGTAAATATGTCAACTCAAATTTGATTTTAACCCATTTTAGCGGACATAGTTTTTTTCATTCCAGCCGTTAATATAACACAAATTTTTTAGTTAATTTTCATGAAAGTTACACGTATCGTCGAAAACATGTTTAAATGCATAATTTTAAACGAAATATTATTATTCTCCATATAAAATGTACGAGTATGGCTTTGTTAAATGTTAACTTATGCGAAAACCAAAATATTTAGTCAACCTAGGGTTAATTTTGGTGGCGTTGTGGCAATTCGCAGAAATATAATAATTTGTCTGTGTTTGAGTATGGCGAGGGGAAGACGAAAGCAGACCAATCGTACATATGTATGCACATATTTACATTTATCAATGCATACATATTTATGCGCTTGTCTTTTGGGATGATTGAAGAATTTCATATATGTAGTGATTTAGAGATCACAACCCGAATAATGTACTGTGGCGCGTATGCTAGAGGCGATGCAACTTTTTGGCGTCTCGCCGTTTGTCTTGGTTCAAATCCCGGACGGACCAAGTAATATTTTTTTTTGTTTTTTTTTAATTGTCATATCCATATTCCATTTTAAATTTTACTATTAGCTTTGTTTAAAATAATATATGTAAATGGATATGTAGGTACAAACGCACGTATAATTTCACATAATTGCTCAAATTTGCCAAAAGTTACTGAAAGCTTTATTGTAAATGTTTTCACTAAAATATTAGTTATCGGAATTAAAATTTTATGCGAATCCAATTTTTATTCCCATTTTTAGAAAGCGCAAGTAGATATGTATATGTTCGTGCCACAAAAATTATTTCATAAGTAGTTAATTATAAACACAAATATGTATGTACACTGGCAATCAAAAGTGAGTGCATGGTGTTTTTTGTTTAATATTTCCAATGTTTTTAAGTTAAATTTTTTTGTTATTTTCGACGGGTTTTGCCGTTTTATGCATATAACAAGTGCAATTTGTATAAAATAGCGCAATTTTTTTTTTTAGTTTGTTTGCAAACGGTCATGCGCATTTAATTCTACAAGAAATTCCCTTTTATTTGGTAAAAAGTGCAAAAAGCCGTCAGCCATAAAAAATCATTAAAAATCAACCCGATTTTTTAGTCGCTTAAAACTTGATCTGGTTCCACTAGAATTAAAAAACCAATCTATCTGCGTACTCAAAATTTTTCTAAAAACTCAGATTAAACAGGTCAAAATTTAGACGAGAATTCGTTGAATTTTTCTATGTTCTGTGTAAAGTTTGAAAGTTTGACTTATGTAGTTTTAATTAAAGCATGAACCACATTTAAAAAAAAAAAATAACAAAAATATTTTAACATGAAAAACTTTGCAAATATTAAACAAAATAACTCACTTTTGATTGCCAGTGTACATACATGTACATATGTATGTGTGTAAATTTTATGTAAAACTATAATCTTATTAAATTGTATTTGCATCTTCACAAAAAGAGAACAAGTTAAAAAATGTAACAAAAATTTTCGTTTATTTGCTCGCAACACGAAGAAGAGCAGATTTTATGTTGCTCAACATTTTATTATGTTATCAACATTAAATTCAACAGAATTTCTACATTCCGACTTGAACTTTTCTAACGCTGTTAATTTTTCGTCCGCGAATAGTTTCCACTTTCAGTTTGCATCTTCTCTATCTATCTAAGTTCTCTGTTAAGAGCAAGTTAAAAGAAGTCTATGAGCAATGTTTTCGAGTGTGCATTGACAAGCCCATTTGCGCGCCCGAATGGAGCTGGAAATGAAAGGATAATAAACAGATACTAAAGGTGGTATGCTTTAATGGAAGCGGAAATGAGAAATTTCAAGTAAATTCGAGTATTATTTAATGGAATGCCAAAGTGAATGGTGATGTATGTATGTACGTTGTGGGGAAAGGATGTGAGCGAAATTTAGACAAATTTTGAAGATAATATGCAAAGTATCATTATAGTGATTTTGATTATGATTATGACAATGACTATGACTATGCTTATGCCTATGACTATGCTTAGGACTAGTATTGTGGCTATGAATAGGACTATGACTATGATCATGACCATTGCTGTGACTGTAACTATGAATATGACTATGACAAGGACTGTAACTACGGCATTGACTTTGCTATAACTAATACCATGGCTATGACTATGCTTAGGCCTACAATGGCCTACTATGACTAAGGCCACGAGTGTGATTTTGACTATAACCGTGACAATGACCTTGACTAGGAGTAGAACTATGACTATGACTATAACTATGAATTTGACCATGAGTATGACTATGACTTTGACTATGCGTATAACTGTGACTATGACTATGACTATGGTTATAACTACGGCTATGACTACGACGATGACTTCGTATTTGACCATGACTATGACTATAACTATAACTATAACCATGTCTATAACTATGGCCTTATAACTATGACTTTGACCATGACTATAATTATGACTGTGACTGTGACTATAACTATGACTATTTACCACTATGGCTAAGAATATGACAATGTCGTGAACTATATCTATGACTATGACTATGTATGAGACTAAGACTATGACTATGAATTTCATTACACTGTACGGCCAAATCAACCTTTTTCTGGGTATTGAACCAAGCCAATTTTTTTTAAGAGACTAAGGCATTGGTAAAAAATTAATTTCTCCGTTTTTCGAAGTTAGCCTCCGAAATCGAGATATGGGCCTTCGAAGTATATTTTTAGGGTTTTAATTATTTACATGCAATAATTAAAAATAATTTTTTACCAAAGGTCCTATTTCGAACTTCGAAGGCTCATATTTCGATTTCGAAGACTAACTTCGAAAAACGGAAAGCTTACATTTTTTTACTTATGACTCAATCTCTTAAAAAAGTTAGTTTGGTCCAATACCCATCTGAGTGCTGTACAGTGTTATGAGTATGACTATAACTATGACTGCGACAATTACTAAAAGCATAGACAGACGGCAGCATTGATCCATTGATTGAATTAACTGCAGTTGATCCGGATTACGTCCTAGAGTTAATTCCTAAACTTAACTCGGATCAAGGCAGTTTTCGATGACCACACTGACCAAAACCCAGAGAGCGCAGAATACAGAGAATATGCAAATCCAGTATGGACATATACCTTTTAATCGGTTTTGTTTTTATTGTTAATTAAATTTTGTTAAATTTTATTTGATTTATATATTTAATTTTACTCTATTTTAATTTCATTTATTTTATTTTATTTCACATTTTTATTTTATTATTACTTAATTTAAATTTCCAGAGTTGAATTTTACTAAAAAAGTCAAAAATAAACTAACTAAAAATATCTTAAAAAAATATATAAGTTATAATTGAATAAAAAAAAATTAAACGAATATTCTACTGGCCATGGGATTCGAACCTACGACCTTGCAACTCATAAATCCGCATTACTGCCGTCTTTCAAGGCACAATTTTGATCAGATCAATTGCGGCGTTAATCCGGATCAACGTTGCCGTCGGTCTATGCTTAAAGACTATGACTACGACTGTAACTATGACTACCCTGCAGGGAAACCGACGACAAGTGAATCAAATTTCTAGTTCCGCCCTAGATCTTTATCGCCAGTCCAAAATCGGCGAAAGGGATTCATTTAAAAAACTATTTTTTTTCACTTTTTTCAACAAATCTATATCTAAGGTGACGAATTTAAAACTGATACGGAACTATCGAAAAAGGATTCAGCGGGGGGCTTGTTTACTACACATAGATATGTGTTTAGCAGAGCTGTGTAACTGTGAAATCATTTTCAATTTTAAATCAACAATTTTTTTTTATCCAGTTGTCATTACTTATTCTTCGCTTAGGATTGAGGTTTAAAATTTTTGAATTTTCCATTCTCTCAAAGCAGTTATGAATTAACACATCAACATATTCATAGCAAGATTGAAAAAACCAATGCCCAATCAAAAAAAGGTTTAACACTGAATGAGTATTGAAAAGGCTGCAATCTTTTATGTGTGTGCATTCTTTAACTCAGTACCAATCATTAGTTCAAAGACACCCTGGTAAATAACTTTTTGTTAAAAAGGAAGATTTTTGACAATTGCTCAATTGTAAAAATTCAAACCGGCGTTACCCAATTTAAATTTTTTGGTAGAGGGGATTTTATATCATATATTTGGGATTATATATAAAACAGTTGTATTAACATTTACGTTTTAAATATAATTCATGTTTTATCTTGAAAATGTTTAAAATTTACATTAAATTAGATAACTACTTGGCATAATCTTTACATTTATGTTGGTAAAATTTTAGGGAAAATATTTTAAAAATCTTAGTGTCTTTAATAAAAAAAACAGCAAAGGCGCACGCTACAAATCGGAGGAGAAGCTCGGCCAAAACTTAGCAAAAGTGTCAAGGTCAAAATATGATTACTATAATTAAATTTAGTTTCAAACAGGTCGCAACCCTCTTCAAACACCTCAAAAGTATTCCCAATATTATTTAGGTGTGAACCCGCATGAGTCCGAAATTACCATTTTTTACCAGAATTTCCAGATTTTACCGGAAATCGTACTTGGTTTTCTGGCAACTGAGAGGACAAATAAGAGAGTAAGTAAGGTCATCTCTTTGTCAGAAGCTACCTGGTGGTACATTCTGGTAAATGTGTCAAAAGATCCGATGTAGTGTGTTTGACAACCAAATTGTAAACAAAAGAGAAGTGCACTCTCCTAATGCATGTCGAAAAGTAAATAATTCCTTGCTTGAGTAGATGCTAATGAGTTTTGGTTAAATTACAAAACGCTTAAAAATGTATTAGCCGTCATTTTACGTTTAAAAACTTTAAAACTTTAACACAGTACCACCCTATACTCTATATGTGATTGACCATTGAACTAAATCGTTGTTTATTTGGGTAAGATTAAAATATATTTTACTATTCAATATTGGAGTTGGTGTGAAACAAAAATTAATAATTTATTGTTATGTATGCAAATGAGAACTACAATTCTGAGCTTATTGAGCATCTCTTAGTCAAAAACAAAGGCAATTTTGCTTGATCAAGTTTCGAATCTAAGAAGAAAATGTTTTTAACAAACAAAAGGTTAATAATAAAATTTGAAGGATTTAAGATATTGCGTATGGTAGCATGAAATGACACAATCTTCTTAATTGTCAGGCTGTTGATATGGCTACGAAAAAGTGACAATGGAAACACATAGCTGAAGATTTCATACTTACAGTGGGATAAACTTCAAACCTCTAATATAAATTAGTTATTATTTTTTTATCAATTTTAAGTTTTCGTTTGGAATAATTTTCATGAACTTATCTATTAGGAGATCTCTTTGGAAAATTACCGTACATCCGATATCTATTGAAATTTTGACATCCTCACTTTTTGGAAAAAGAAGTTCAAGATACAAGTTTATGTGCAAAAAATAAATTAAACAATAAAAGTCTCCTTATATTTATGGAACTTATAATAGAAAAATTTGTATTTCATTACCCAGACTTTATGAATAGCCTACTCTATAAGTAATAGTAGAAATTCCGAATTAGTAAGTTCAGTCAAGACGTCATTCAAAAGTTTTGAAGAAAATCACTTTTCTCTTTTGTGAAAATTTGGGACTATCTTATGCGAGTATTGTCGACAAAATGTTAGTCTATGAATGACTAAAAATTAACGAATAAATGGTTAATCGCGATTAATGATTAAAATTAATTAAGCGATCGCTGTGGTGTAGTGTTTAGAAGTGCGCACTACCATTCCGCAGGGTGAGCGTCCGAGCCCAGTTCCGGCCAACAAAAAAAAAAAGAAAATGTTTTTTGTAATAGTGGTCGGCCCCCGGCAGGAGTCGGCGTAAAACTGTAGGTCCCTCCCCTTTGTGCGACAACATCAAGGCGCATGCCACAATCGGAGGAGTAGCTCGGCCAAACACTAACATATGTCGATGGTCCTCTGCAATAACGGCACAATTCAAAATTTCAGGTTTAGAAAAATACATAATTTGAAAGCTTACAGTATGACTGCATATAATCCGGAATAATTACGTTCCAAGACATATTGCTAAATTACGAAACAAAAAATCTTTAATTGGCTCTACTGAAATATATGAAATTTTTAGTTGTGTCGATATGTAAGCGCTTTTCTATTATTATTAGTAATCATCATACAATTTCAAATTACATAAACCCAGTCACAGCCCTTTTTTGTATTCGACGCTTCCAGAAATCACATAATACATAAAATAAATAAAACCTGTTTTGATTAATATTACATAAACTGGAAACTGTTAAAAATAAGTGCGCTTGTGTACAGAGATTTTAGAACCTATTTAGTTCCTAAAATGTCTGTTTGCAACACATAACAATAAAAATGCACATCAAATTGCTAAGAATGATGAAGGAAATCGATTCAGACATTCCTGTTTAACTGGCCGTGCGTGCTCAAAACAAACACATGTTAATTAAGGAGCTATTCAAGTATTATGTAACCACCAGTGGAAAGCGGGGGTCTTGGTTTGCTTATTTTTAATAACAACGGGCAAAATTTCTTCAAATAAGTAAAACATTAATTACACACGCACAAATTTTGCCTGCAATTTCGATCACAATTGAACACTGCACTTCACTCTCGTTTCGAATTTTTGAAAGCGTTTTTTTAAGCTATTTAGTGGTTTAACACTTCTTGTGGGCACTTGATATTGTAAAAAAAATATGCGCAATTCGATCCCTAACTACATTTTTTTGTAAAGAACGCCCGTTTGCTTTAAATTTGTAAAAATACAATTTATTTTTTTTTTGTTTACATCTGTCATTTGTTACAAATGAAGAAAAGTCCAAGAGTTGCCAAGTATAAATATCTTTATATCTATTTATTAAAATAATAATTTACAATAATAATTTATTTAATTAATACTTTATTAAAATACAAATTTGAAGTGCAAATACATTTGTAAAACTGTTTATCACAAAATGTTATTAATTGTTTGCAAGCATACTATAGTTTTCATGCATTTTAAGAATAAATAATCTAATCTCTTGGCTCAATTCTTATTCATTCGTCCTGAAATATACTAGCCAGAAATACGTTTGCTTTATAAAAAAGATAACCATTTTGAAATATGGGTGACTTTACTCTCTAGAAAATAATTTATGCAAATACGCGATTTTGCATTTTCTTGATACGCGGTTTTATACTTTGAAACGACGATATGTAGAGCATGTACTTACGGCGGCCGCCGTAGCAGAGTGATTACATGTGCGTACTTCCACTCCATAGGACCATGGTTAAATACCTGGTCAGATCATAACCCAAAATAGCAGTCGTCCTTCGGCACGCAATGGCAAACCTTCGAGTATATTTCTGCCTTGAAAACTCTTCTTCGGCCAAACACTTAGAAGAATATTTTAGCACCAAATATTTATTTGTTTACTTATTTTAAGGGAGATGGCAATCTTCTGGTTTCACATTTTGAGTACAAAAATTTCAACCCTGATACAACAAATAGTATT